TTGTATGAAAATTAAAAAAAAAAAAATCTCTTATTTTATTGTATATATAGAAAATGAATTAAAGAAAAGAAAATAAAAATGTAAAATGACATAAATACGAGAATAAAAAGGACAATATATGACAATTAATTTTTTGAATAAAAATGAGTATTTTAAAATATAGTTTTTATAGAGAATAAAAAGTGATAAAAAAAAAAATCTTTCCAAGAGAAGTAAACAAGAAAATATAATGCAGATTATCATCCATCGTAAACAAAACAAAACAGGACAAAAAATGATAAGAATTGAAAGAACGCTGAGAAACGTATTTCTTTAGCTACTTTTTAATCGTGGATTTTTTAATAAATTTTTGTTTTATTAATTTATTATTTTAAAATTTAAAATAATATTATTTTTTTTCATTATTCCCTCATTTAATTTAATTTTTATTTAATTAATACATTACAGCTAAAATACATTTATTAATTATGAAATAAAATTAAAAGAAGATATAATAAAAAATATCAAATTTATTTTTATAAAACAAAAAAAATTAATTTTTAAACTAGTGTATAAAAAAATTTAAACAACTATTTAAAAAAATGACTTTCTTTTTTTAAAAAAATCTTGTTTTTCAATGCTTCCTTTCGTCATCACTTTTCTACTAATATTAGAGTGAAATACATTTTGATATTGGTCTCAATTTTTCTTTCTTTCTATTCCTTCACTTTTTAGAGTATCATACCAAACAGTGAAAAAAATAGTTTTTATAATCTTTCCGTTTCTTTGTCCATAATTTATTTCCAAAATCTACCATGCCAAACCATAAAGTACACTAAATTCTCCAAAAAAAACTTTCAAATCCATGGTAAGATATTTAAGAAGATTCAATCTCATACTATGATTCCAAGATTTACCCAAATCTCACAATAAATCAATCCAATTAATTTCCATCAAAATGCATTCATCCTTCTCCCTTTCATAAAAATAAAAATAAAACTCGATCCTTTAACAACCCTTCTTCTTCAAATTAATTTTCATTTCTTGTTCAATCAATCACGTATCTCTTCCCCTGGTGCACAACAGTTAAAGGTTAGCATGTTCATTTTCTATAGTATTTCATCATCTTTTGCTGTTGTCTTCATCTTCTTGTGTAGTGTTGTATATTTTTCATCTCTTGTACAGCATGTTCTACTTTTCTATACCCATCTTCTTTCCTAATTTTTGTTAGTAGTATATTTTTGTTTCTCTATTTTTTAACCTAGAGTACTCACTCCCATTTATTAATTGGACAATACTTCATCTCCTTTCAATCACTCCAATTTAACATTTTTATATAAAAATTAATAACGACAATAAATATATCATTTTTTAATATAATTTTATAAAAGTAAGTTATTCTCTTAATAAATATATTATTTTTAATTGTGATAATTAAATAATTTAAGAAAGAATAAATTCAAAAAATTAATATTATATTAAAAAGTAAGAATATAATTTATTTTAAGATATTTTTAAAATGATAAAATTATAATTATTGTGGAAAAGAGGGGATATTAGCATGTTTATTTTACCGTTTAAAAACTTTCAAACCGAAGTTTATATGTTCCGATGTATGAAATGGAGAAGTAACAAAGTACTTGTTTTAATTTGAACATGGATTACCTTCTATCAAACTTTTTTCTTGAACACACACTATGTTCTTTTATAGATTTAAATCAATATATAAAATAATTTTATGATTATCTGTCAATTTGAATTAATAAAATGAAATATCAAATAGTTTTCAAATATCTTAAAATTTTGTAAACTTTATATATGCATTAAAAACTTTTAATTTAACGGTTGAATCGTTTAAATTTAATATAAAATATTAGTTATTGAGTTGAGTAAATTTTAGTAGACTCACTTCACTCAATAACTCTTGTTCTAAATTAAATTTCAATGATCTAACTATTAAATAAAATTTTCTTAGTACAAAAATTAAGTTTACAAATTTTAAAAAAAATTTAAAAACCATAAGATACTTCATATGTAGATTCAAATTAATATATAACATATTTGTATAATTATCTATTTAATTTGAATTATGAAATTAAGTATCAAATAGCTTTGATTTTTTTAAAAATGTGTAGAATTGATCTATGTATTAAAATTTGATGTAAAACATGTATTATTAGGTAAAGTAATATAGATTTAAATCAATATATAAAATAATTTTATGATTATCTGTCAATTTGAATTAATAAAATGAAATATCAAATAGTTTTCAAATATCTTAAAATTTTGTAAACTTTATATATGCATTAAAAACTTTTAATGAATATATAAAAAAAAATATTATAATATATTTTTTAAAAATTATAAGAACTAAAAATATAAATTTTAAATTTGAAGAAAAAAAATAATTATCCTAATCTTAATAATGTTATACTCACTCGTCCTTATAAAAATAAATAAATAAATACTCAGTGACCTAAGAGAATGTGTATCATTAGATAACTAATCTGAAAGGAGGTGTAACTAGGGTTCTATTGTCGAACAAAAGAATATACTAAAACGATGCTGCAACTTGCTAATAAGTCAATTCACACTAATTAAAGTACCCATGAATACCAATAATAACAACTTCAACTTAATTCGTCTTGCTTTCAGTTCTTTCTGTTTTTTTTTTACTGTAAATTTTATTTTATCGATTTGAAAACTATAATATTTATTATTTAACAGAAAAAAAGTCAGTAGAGTTTTATGCACACCAAATAAAAGGTACACAAAATGATGGACTTGTTGAAAAATAATAATAGGTCGATTTTCAATGATTAAATCGATCCCTTGCAGTCCAATAACTGCTATGATTTCTTTATGTTTCTTCCTACCTACAACTACAAACTCTTCAATTAATTAATTTGAAGAAGAAAAAAAAGAGACATTATTATGAAAGGGATTTGGTGGTCGGATTTCTGGGTCAGACAAATTCTAATTCCACTTTCCAGTTTCCACAAAGATTTATTTGTTTTTGGAAAACATTTAGAATCGATTCCTTCTACCAAAATCAGTGTCACTGTAAAAAAAATGGATTCAACTTTGTACTGCTTTGCATTCAACGTGGGAATGAAGATGATTTTGGTTTAACGCATAACGCCTTTGAGTTATAGGATTTGAATTTGTTGGCGAATAACTCACCTTTGAGTTAAATGTGAACATGTGCTTTTGATCTTGCTACCTTATATTTTGCATATAATATATATCCAATGACTGAGCCATTAAGTTACACTTGCGGTGGAACCATTTTCTTTTCAATCCAAAGCTTAGGTAATCACGACTAATAGATCGTACAACACTTGTTTTTTTACTTGTCAAATACGATAAGTACAAAAGCTATTGATCACTCATAATTGTAGTTGAGTGCTGTGATGATCCAGCAATTTGGTGCTTTTAGGAGAAAACATGTCATTTAGTGTTGAGCAAAAGGAAATAGATAGAGAGAAAGTGTATAAAAAAAGGTAAAGAGGGAGGAATAATGGATAAGAAATAAAGTTAAAATAAAATTGATGAATATTTGTATTACATGTTCTATATAATCAAATAATAATAAATAGTTAAATAATAGCAATAAATTCTTAAATCTCATATGTGCAAGTAGGCAGAAAAACAATAAAAACGAGTGTGGTGAATAACATTTGAATTAGCAGAAAATAGAGAAAAATATACAAATAAATAAAAAGATAGATAAACAAGTATAAGTTGTTGGATAAATAATTTTTAACATAAATTATATTTTATATTTACCATAAATATTTTATATTGTGATATAAAGTTATCTTTATTTATTGATATTTTTAAAATATTAAAATTTAATTTAAAGATAAAGATGAAAATAATTGATTGAAAGATATAATATATTAAAATATTCTCATTGAATATTTTTTAATATTTTTATTGAAAAATAGTTCCTAAAACCTTTTTATTCAATATAATTATTATAATTTATATATAAAGTGATGAAATTTGAATCTTAAATTAGAGAGATGAAATTTTAGTGTAAAGCCTGTAAAATTTCAGGACTTCTAACTATATGGCTAACTTTTGTAGCGTGAAGTTTTTAAGGTTCTTATCAAATAATTTGCACAAAGAAAGGAATGAGACAATTTGCAAAGAGGCCCAAACTGAAGACAAAATAAGGAAACTGAGGAAAGTGCTTGGGTCTGGACCCAAAAATAGTAACGAGCTTAAATGGAAGCTTTATATAGTAGTTAGCATAGTAGAGAACAAAAGATGTAACTAGGTTATTATTTTCATAGTGCCGATTATTACAAAGCTATTCATTGTAATATCTTATTCATATTATTTTTTATTTTAAAGTGATGCATTTTTAAGAAAATATTAATGACACAACTTATTATGATAAAATATTTTTTTAATAAAAATATCCTCATTAAGAAAGTAAAATATAATTGTGAATCTATTTAAATATTTAGATGAAATAATAATAAATGAAAGTATGAGTGCAAAAGAAAAATATGCTTTCTGATTTTTTTTAAAGTACCAAATATGTCAAGACAAATTAAAGCATTTAAATAAATTGTTGCTTCCAATGAATAAAAAAAGCATCTAAATTGACACGTGAAAGTATAAAATTAGCTTAAGCAAGAAACAACATTTTCTCATATATTAGAAATGTAATTCCAGGTACCGTGTATCAAGCATTTTCAATTTTGGTTATAGGTCAATATTAATTTTTTAGTAAGTTACAAGTTCATCAATTATCAATTATCAATTAAAAGGCGTCGAAAAAACCTGATAGGTAAAAAGAACTATAGAAAGGTTACAACTTCAATTATCAGATGTTTTGATAACTGTGGTTGAACTTTGCCAAAATTCCTTTCTGCCGGCACAACCATGAAAATAAAGGCCCTCATGGTATTAACTAAAGTAGATAATTCTGAGATCTGTCACATACAAAGGCAATGCAAAAATTATATGTTCCCCCTAACAGAAAATAATAAAGAAGTATTGTAAACTTCAAAATTCAAACAATAATACATTATTGATAAACATTAGACTTAATTTACAAAATGGTTTATGAAAGACACAGGAACATGTTTATGTACAACAAAACGAAGCAACTACAATACTGAGTTCAGTACAAAATAAATCTCTGAACATGGCGGTTAAAGACTATAATGCATCATCAGCAATAACATACTTTTTTATGATCATCTTTTTGCTGTTTTTCTCTGCTTTCAATAAATAGAAAACAGAATAGATAATGAGCTCACCGATGACAAAGTCCTAATTATTTGAAGGAGTTATGATATTAGAACTAAGTTGGCACCAACAAAAGGGAACATAGCCATAAAAGGAAGAAAAAAACATCATGAGCACAACCCCGCATTCTCCATAACAGATTCTGGATGGTAATGAAGCATTTCTTTCCACATCATCTCCCTTATCATCCCTTCACCTAGATCCTCTTCAATGTCAAGATCAATTGGAATGACAGCTGGAGGGTCAGTGTTAGGATCATAGAGAGGGGACATGAAAGGGTGCTGAAGCGCTTCAGTGACACTAATCCTCTTTGTCGGATCGAAAACAAGCATCTTTGCCAGAAGATCAATTGCCAATGGATGCGCATTGGGATAAAGTCGAGAAAAGGGGGTTCCAGGAGAATAAGGAAGTGATTTGATATACTTCTTTGCCTTTGGGTTATCAATGAATTCAATATCCTCCTCCCTTTGACTACCAAGGATATTGATAATCAATTTCAGCTGGTTGAGACACTCTGAACCAGGGAAAATAGGTTTTCGTCCAAGAAGCTCCGCAAAGATGCATCCAACTGACCAAACATCAATCGATGTCCCATAGTTGTCACAGCAGAGTAGGAGCTCCGGTGCCCTATACCACCGAGTGACCACATACTCGGTCATGAACTGGTTCTTGCTGCAGTTAGTACGTGCTAGCCCGAAATCACATATTTTTAGGTCACAATTTGCATTGATTAGAAGATTCCCAGGTTTCAAGTCACGATGAAGGATGTTAGCTGAGTGAAGATATTTCAAGCCCCGGAGCAACTGCAGCAAAGAACCTTCAATCGGTAAATTCACTCATTGGCTAAGCAACAGAAATGATCATAACTTATAACTTCAGCAACCACTACCAATGTTCCTCGGCATGATTGATGTCAGTTCTTCGGCGAAGAACTTAGATTTTTAGAAAACCAAGGGGGAACTTTACAGGCAGGGGGGTAAAATGCAACAAAAACAAATATTTCAAAAATGATGAGAGCAAAAAAATTGTAATTACACAAGACCTTTAAACAAAAGCTCCCTTCAAGACTGTCACAAACTCAAACAAGTTCAACATGTATGTTTTCTGCGTAGTGTCAACTCCACAATACTAAACATGCATACACAGTCAACAATATGAACACATTGACATATCTGAAGCCGACAATATTGTTGTTCAGTTACACCAACAAAGAGGGAAAGATTCATACCTGAAAGAGGAAATATTGGCAGTGATCATTAGACAGTGTTTGAGAAGACTTAATAATCTGATGCAAATCCGTGTCCATGAGTTCATAAACCAGATAGACATCCTTGAAGCTACTCCTATGAACAGGCATCATGATGTCCTTCAAAGCAATGACATTGTCATGGTGAAGGTGGCGAAGAAGCTTGAGCTCGCGCAAAGTCCTGAGCGCATCGATCCGATTCTCAAAGGCATTCTGAATCTTCTTGATTGCAACCTTCTCATTGGTTTCTCTGTTCACAGAAGAGCACACAATCCCATAGGCTCCACGACCAATGGGCTTGATGGGCACGTACTTTGAATCAATCTCAAACAGGGTTTGCCACATGGAAAAATAATGCTTCCCTTCAGTTCTGATCCCATTTGGAGGCTCAACAGGAGTCGCCATTCCCTACAAAAAAATCAACACCAACAAGTCCCA